TTAAACAAATTGTTGTATTAAAAAACAAGTTAAAGAAATACTCTGTGTATTAATAATGCTAGTAAAAAAAATCAAACTCTCAAACTGCGGGCAGAAAACAAGAGCAAGCAACTAACATAGCTCATTATGAGAATGACTATTAAATTAAGTACAGCCGTTGTCACAGCAGTAAAAATAGAAGCAAATGGCCGCATACTGTCAACCCGATACAAAACTTGTAGCATCACCAGGCGATATATTATCGTGCCAATAACAGCTGCGGAGATTAAACAGAGCTGAAATAAGTGTTTGGCAAGCTATTTACAGAATACTCATAACAAACGTAAGAAGTTTTTCAGCTTACAAAAAATAAAACTCCAACACTTGAGGCAAAAAACCGTGGCAAACGTTCACTGAGTGGTATAACAGTCGGAGATTGATTCCGATCAGAACGGCCGCGGAAATCACTAGAACGTAAAGACTGAAGTAGGTATGCAAGACGCATCCCTTCCTGTAAATTTCTTTTACTTTATCAGTGATCATGAATCAATGCAAATGATACAGTCATCAAGTACAAAGAGAGAAGCAGAAAGCAAAATTTAAATAAGGTCAACTAATCATATGAAAATGTTAGCTTTTAAAAAGCTTCACTTACTTCGTGAGACCCAGTATCAAGCAAACCAAGCTTCCATGCAGCATCAGCATTGTACCGTTTCCAACCCTCCACAAAGAAAGTTGCTCCAATACTCATTAAAATAGCAAATGCTAGAGTAGAGTAGTTATCAAAAATATAAGCCACCTGAAAAAAGTAAAAACTGTATAATTAGAAGAAAAGAAACGCAAAAAAGATAAGAGAAAAAATATTTCTGATAAGGTTTACCTTGGGACATCTGAAGCAACAAGTAAGTTCAGATAGAACAGTTCAGAGAGCACTCAAAAAAAATGATTAAAAAGTTGAATGACAAAACGTACCTTTGAATATGCACAACTAGACTTCAGAAGTGTGTAGTCACACCAGTGGTCACACTTGGGGCACATTAGCGTATTCCCAATACTAGTATTCGAACAGATGTTGTTGCTAAAGAACTACCTTCACTTCTGAATCAAATAAATGACCAACCACTAATTATTGAAAATAAGGCTTACCTTGGGACATCTGAAGCAACAGTTGCAAAACCGTATATGAAAGAAAGACAACCAATTACTGCACAAGGAATCAGAAATTTCGTATAATAACCATATAGTAGAAAATAAAGCGCAATTTTTGATCCAAAATATTCTCTAAAAAAAAAATGCTACTACACATTTTGGCATAACAGTTAATTTGTATTAGAAAAACATTTTAGATATAAATATAAAGTGGCAGTGAAGAGTATAAAAAGATAATCTTTTAATACTTTATGAGGTAAAGTGGTTGAAATTTGTGGCAGTATCGCAGTTTTGCCCATAACCAATATAGGAGCTGTCGAGTACTGAAATCCTTCAATTGATCGCCTCTCCTTACTTCTTCCTAACTAAGGATAATTATCTACTTCTACTTATGAGAAGTACTTAAACAGCGGTTAGTTGTAGAAGAAAACTAACCTTCTCGAACAGTCCTTCCCTAAGATTCTCGTAGTCCAAATACTGAAAAGACATCAATTATTGCCAAGAAGTTAAAAATGACTGCTGAATGAAAATTGGTGAGGAATAAAGTTCAAAAGAAGTTTTACGGAAAAAAATAAAGCGAACGTGAATTTGTGCAAGAAAAAAAAAATAAAAGCTGTAAGTCAAAGTTCCACCTCATGCAGCGGATATGCAGCAGCATAAACACCTTTTTTAAGTGCAATATCAATGCCAACACAATCTTTGCTTCCAAACCTAGTTCTGTTTAAAAGATCGTGAGTCACATAAATCCTATCAGCACTCGAAAAAAAACTTTCGGGATTTTCAGAACCCATAAAACTGAAACATGTAACTATTAGAAAAAAATTATTCTAAAATCAATAAAATGAAATTTGATCCCCGTCATTTAATAAAACCTGGAAGAAATGTTTAATCTTTACTACCATTCAAAGTCGTCCTTTGTGAAAGGATGATACTGATTCCGCGGAGTTTCAAGATATTTTTCTGTTTCACTTTCAAAAGAAAACCACTTCAGTTTTTTTAGAAAAGCGTCAAATGGGGACTCAACGATAGTGCGCGGCTGAAAAGCAACAACTTACTATTAAATTCATAATCAATTCTTCTTTCCCACAACACACCCCCAAATAAATGTTTCAGAGGCACAATTATTACCTCAAAAAACATTAGAGAACTAAAAAGTGAAACGAATTACCTGCCTAAGGTCTGTCCTTACCGGCATTTCCACACCTAGTTTTTCAGCTCTTTTACACAAAAGATCAAAAGGAGTGTGAACCAAAACAAAATTCGTTTTTTCACAGAACTAAATAAAGAAGTATATCTTTCAGTAAAGTATAATACAGTAATCAATAATGTTCAACAGTTACTTTTAAAAAACTTAAAAGACACAAACAAAAACGAGCCTTGCCATCCACGTATTCTAGTTCCAATCCTCTTATTTTCAACCTCTCTTCGAAAATTCTCCTCCGCCTGGCATTTTTGGGCTCATGTTCGGTAGCAGGCTGTAATTATTTCTGTCAAGAGAAATACGCAAAAAAAATTACAAGAAACTTGCGACACAGAAGCTAGAAAACCAACAAATGTGAACTATAATACTGAGCAACTGGTAAAATAAATAACAAAACTCGAAAGGTAATTCAAAAACTGCTGATAAAAACGTCAACTAACGCCATAGAAAGCGAGATCTTCGTTATCACTTGCATTCGTTTCTTCATTATCTGACTCGTCAGTCTCATATGCTAAAACATAGTCAACTCTTCTAACTCCATCTTTAAAAGTAGTGTAATGTTCGTGAACTGTTTCTCCACATGCTGAAGAACTCTAAAATGACTTTTTAAGAGAAACTTTATCTTTTTTTTGTAAAATCATGCCTAAAAAATATGCGCTTGCCAAGAAATGATAATAACAGGAAAACACGAACAATGGCATTCCAGTCAGCAGAGAAACACATTTAACAAGTAAATAAGCCAAGAAAGTCAGAGAAGAAGATTACCGTTTCATCAATAAACTGAAACACATGGTCTCCATAATTCATGGCCAACTGATTTGACGGTGATAACGTGTCCATGCTGAACTTTTAATCAGCCAGCCGCAGTGCTCGTCCTAGACATATATAAAAATTTGGACCAAACGAAGCACTGTTTGCTATAATAATTAATGTCAAGCGGAAGTTAGGAAGACATCAGCCTCTAAAAATGTTATACCGGAAATCCCTATTTTAATAATCCAAAAATGCAATATGAACGACGAGATTCAGTATGGAGAGCTGAAATTGAAACTAGCTGAGTAAAAAAGCAAAGAATTTTTTCACCAATTACGTACGGAAAAATAGAACTACGGCACAGTATAATTGGGCTCTACTTGCTTTAAGAACTATCAGATATGCTTTTCTCACCGGCTCATTCTGATACACTCGGTAACGGATCCCACAAAGTCTCATTCATAAGGAACAACTGTCACGTAGAATTGTCTAACGCTTTCACTAACGCTCAGTGAAAAATATTTGCTTCCACATGGCGAACTTCACTTAAAAGTGCGGCGTTCTATTTTAAAAACTCGTTTTTCACTTCAAAAGTATAAAAACAACAAAATCATCAAAAAATTTTACTAATCAAAAATAACAAAAATAATATCATACCATTGATCAATCAATAAAACTGCACTAATAAAAAAAAAAGACGACGATGTACAAAAAATAACTGATAATAGCCTTTATCTGATACAGAAGAACACTGGAGACAATGAGTAATAATGTTACAACAATTTACAATGAATACCGCACTGAATATAATATTGACCGTAAATTTTCTTGAATTTTCTTAGATGATGGCGGATATTCGCTGCTATTTGATAATTACCACACATCGGGATCTAGAAAATATCTGTCATCAAACAGAAAGATTTATGGCTATCGCTGTAGTCAAACGTGCCTGCAGGTGGCAAAAATTCTTCAAAAGTTTTACTTGAAGCTTTTATACTACAGTATCATCTGCAAATATCATGCGGATCTGAAAAATAGAAGAGTTCTTTTTGTTCGCTTTTCAACGGTAAGTCGAACTAAACAATTATGGAAATCCTGCCACGTTGCTTCAAGAAACCAACAGTTGTCAAAAGTTATCCTCAACCAGCTACTTTTTGACTAATTAAATAAATAATTTTAAAAAAGCAACTTATTTGTCAGACTGCCGCTAAAATGATGCAAATCACTATTTTCTATCGGATTTTTTGAAAAAGTCCGACCACATGTTTTAAATGGAACTTTGAAGAGAAATGTTTGGATTTGCCCTTTGTCCAACAAACGTTAAAAGTTACCGAAGTACCAGAAGACTATGGAACAAAAGTTGTACTCAATGCTCTTGTAGTAAAATTCTTCCTGCTCAAGGCAAACTTCTTCCATTCTCTGCTATTATTCATTGTTATTGAAAGGTAATACCACTGAAGGTAGTTTTTTTTAATCAGGAGTTACAGTGCGACTTTTATGGAACTTGTTTCTCACAAATAAACCTTGTCGAGTCAATAAAATCGTGCCAGAAATGCATCCTGAAGATGCGCAGTCTTTATCGACAATAGAAATCCCAACGAAAACTTTAACCAAAGTCTACTTAATTGGATACGTTGCACATGAATGATGACAATGTAAATATGAATGCAACTTTTACTTCTTTTTGTTGGCTAAACAGTATCAGAAGCGGTTACCTATCGAAAAATTTACAAATGAATGCGATGAAGAATAAGTATCATCATCTATCACAAAGTCTTCCTCTCCGAAATCCCGTGCCAAAACAGAGTACGAGCGACCGCCCCTACGCTTGGATATGCCAACAGTTGGGACACAGGAAAACCACATTCAGTCAAGTTTTTGTATTGATGCCCATACAGGAGTTCTTCAGGCATTCGTTTCAGGATTTGTCTAACTGTGATCGTGACACGTTTTTGTGCAGTAGCTCATCGCCGATCAGCAAAATTTTTCAGAAGCATCATGACGAATTCTTGGTGTTTTGCAGGATTCCTCACTGTTTGTTCATCGTTTACGGTTGTCCCAAAGTAACATTTTCTTCCTCCCTGCAAAAGCAGTCTTCTTTCAAGCATTTTTTATACGAGGTTATTGCGCCTTTTACTTTTCCCGTTGGTCAGTAGCATTTTTAAGTTCTCACGTGCTAGATCTTTTTTTTGGAAAATTTACTCTGGACTTGTCAGAGAGTAGATGTTTCTCAAAAATAGATGAGGAAATCTTTTTTGAAATGTCTGTAAAGGTGTGCTATGTTTGCACCAATCGACTGTAAATATTCCGTATACCAAATCTGGCAATTTTTTGCCGTTCAGCACTTTTATCTCTCACTGACTTTCTATTTATTCCATCAGACAAATTCCATCCCCTTCTCAAATCAAGTAGCAGTCAAGCGAGACTGATTAGAACAGTTTCTACTTATTACCTTTGTGCTGCAGTTTTTTTCAAAGTTGAATTTTCTCACTTATTTTATCGTGAAACAAGTGATCTTACTATTATATGCTACTGTAAATGTGTGAATATTTGTGAATGTATTTGTGAATGTCTAAGAAAGTACGTTAAGGTTTTTCTAACATGGTCTTAGGATTGAATCTTAATGTATGTCATTTGGTTATCATACGTTTTACGTGAATTAAAATTTAGGTGGATAAGGTGCTTATGTAAAAAATAGCTTTCCTGTTTTGAGGCAAGGTGTACAGTTTGGGACTTAGAAGGGTCGCGTAATAGCAAAATGGATGAACGAGCTTCACAGTCATCTGCAAATCAGTATTCTGTGAAACTGTATCAAACTGGGGAAGAAGGTTCTATTCCTTTTTTTTGCTTATGTAATGGGTTGCGCTAGCAGCTTGCCTTATTTCTCGTATTTTTATACCTTATTATTTTTATTTTGGCTTTTTTAACTATCGTTTTATTCTTTGTTTCTTTAGTTACGGCGAAAATAGTTGAACCTACGGGACGTATTTCATTAAACGCAGCGAAGATTGAGTCAAGGGATATTGTGGATTTAGCCAAAAAGGTTCAAGAAGCTCATGATTTTGTGCAAAACAGAGCTTACTCACGCCTCTCGACAATTGCTGAACAAATTCAGTTCTTGAAATTGGTTTGTTTTTCTGTTTTCCAGTTGTCTTTCAAATTGTAAAAGTTAAAAATCAATTTAAATTCATCAATAATTACTGAATTTAGTTGGTAGAAACAGTTTCTTTTTTTTTCTTTTTCTAATATATAGTTATCTTAACAGTTTTGCATACTTTCATTTTAAAAAGCTAGTGAAGAACGGCGCTGCTGATTGTTGATCGCTGACAAGTTTTCAACACTTCTTCCTCTCTTTGAGAAAGTTTATGATTTTGTTTAAGAGGTCATCCTGTTTGGTTTTTGCGTCTTTCTAGCAAGCTGAAAAAGTACTTGCGGACGCCGAAAGAGATGAAGAATTGCACAACGTACCCTGTAACTTTCAGAAGGTTCCTGGAAGCGTATACTATTTATATTTAAATTCGAATGGAAACCGATTTTTTTCAATGATCTCCCCGAAGGAATGGGGTTCACTTAGGGAGCATGAGTATCTTGGTGCTTTCAGGTCAGAAGTCTTGACAACCATTATTTCATTAAAATCATGGTTTTGATTAAAAGCAAGTTTGCTAATCCATGTTCAAAAAGTTTTTTATCGAAAATTATTTTTGCATTTAATCTTTAATCTGGTTTCCGAAGAAGCAAATGGAGAAGAAAAATTTGCTGTTGTCTTTGTAGTTTTTGGGTAGCCTGCTGGATCAATGTTTTTAAGTTTGAAATCTATAAGTATTGTCTTTTACATTAAATTTTTATAGTTTTTTGCTTCACGCATTATTTTTTGAGGTTATTTCTTACACCTCGTGATCCAATGACAAATGCAGAGTAACGAATAAATATTTAGATTAGAAGCAGACAGGAGCTGGACTCCAGAAGATGAGTTCGAAAGGCGGGCACATGAATTTAATATCTTGAAAGACGCCCTGCACGACAAACATTTTGCTGCGATTACAAGCTAAGCTATAAATTAAGCTACGTGTAATGTTACTGTTAAGTTTATCTATAAAGTCTTAAACGGTTGCGATTAGTGGTAAGAAATCACAAGTATCTTTGGAATTTGACTTTTTCAGTTTACATTAACACAAATTTTATTATTTGCATAATATTTGAGATATTTAAAATATGATTTTCTTGGTTTCTATGAAGATTGCAGCATGGTTTCACTTTTTGGTTTCTGTATGCTCACTATTGATGTCCTTCTAACTGTTATTAACTAGTCACTAGCTAAAATAAACCTACTAATAAGATTTTCATTCTTTTTAAGGAGGATGAACGACTGCTTGAAAGTAGCAAGCCTTTCGACTCTTTTAGTGGATCTTTCCATTTCAAGAGCCATATTAGTCGTGGCTTTGTCATTTTGCCTTTGGTGCTTTCTGGTTTGGAGTTATTAGTAACTAAGTTATAGAAAACATGATAGAAAAAGCTAGCTATACGGTTTACTACATATCATAATTTTGTAACAGTCTGTTATTGTTTGCAAGGTGTTTTTGTTTCTACTTTAGTTTTTGTGTTTATTAAAAGTCAAAGAAAACGCTACACTTTTTATGTTTTTCATTGCCATTTTGAATGTTTTTGAACTTTTAAAAATCACCTGTGCATGTCTTCTGCATAATGCAAAGCGTTATTAAATCTCCTGATATTTTTGCTGTATCTTTCAATGTTTTTAGTTTTTTCCTTGAAAAATTTTTTTTGTTTTCAATGCCGTTGTATTGTCACCATTGTATTGCTGCTTGATAAATCTTTCTTTTTTCTTTTGACTCATTTATTGGCGCTGGAGTGCTTTTGTTGTCAAGGAAGGTGAAGCTTCTGATATCATACCAAGTTCCTCTCATGGCAGCTGAGGTTAGTCAACTATTGTTAATTAATTTGTTCAGTCGTACGGCCGTTGACAAACAGGATTCTTCCAACGGTTTGAGATGTAAGTTTATGTTTGATGAGAGGTGAGAAATATTTGTAAAGTGCATTGTTCTTGGGAGGAGATAGAAGGTGAAGTCAGCAGGGTTTGCCTTCGTACACAATTCATTTTTAGGAGTAGATTTGATGTCAATAATATGTGTTATATAGGTGTTTTCATCATTGAGTCGCTGATGGCAGAAAACGTTCGTTCGTTTATTTGTTGTTTTCTGTGTTGTTTGGACTTTAGAGCTGTGTGAACCTTGTGAAAAAGAAGATAACTGCGGCACTAGGCAGACTGCCATCACGGTTTTAAAGCACAGTTTATGAATTTTGATTGAAGGATAGGTTTAACTTTTTTTTCTTCTAACAATAAAACTGCTGGAGGAGTATACTTTTGGAAATATTATGTCGGGCTAGAGGAAGGCAGCAAAAAAGCTGATCAGTCGGAAGATTTAGCAACAGCAGTAAGATGGAAATCAGTACTAAGGTTTTTCTTGACTCTAATGGCTGAAGAAAATCCAGGTGACGGATTAACAGCTTACTTTAAAGAACTGTTATTTTGAGTTAAGGCGGCACTTCGCCATTCGGCTATTAAACAAATTGGTTAAAAAATACAGTGAAAAAGGCTGTTGTTGTTTCAGACTTCGTCAAAAGTCTTAAAAGAACGTAAAAGTAAAGGAGTAGTGACAGTACAAACATTGTCAAAGTTTGTGCACTTTGGATAATTTTGAGGCTGGTGAAAGGTGATTAAAGTGCCCTCTATCGTTACGAAGTCTGCAGGTCACAAGTTGACTGTTATACGACGTTTAACTGTAGTGGGAGGTGTGTTACAAAAATTTATTCTGTTTCAGGAAAGCGAGGTTAACTGTTGATTCGCAGACGACTTTCTGAAGGCGAATACATTGTTGAGAACTCTTTTGTTCGATGGTGGATTAACTTTTTTTTTTAATTTGAGCTCTAATTCAGCTGATTTATGAAACTAAAAACTTTTGAGATGCTTAGTTTTGTGAACGCTTAAACAATACATATGCAGGGGAAGAAAGGAGAGCAGGCGGAAATAACTTTTGGTTCAAGGTGCGACCTGTCTGCCATTTAAAATTATTTGCATTTTGATCCCAATTTAAAAGAATATTTAACAAACTTTGTAAGTTTTTCAGCTTCCTACATTTTTTACCAAACCACTGACAAGTTCAGATGGTTCTACGGTACAGAAGTAAGCAGGTATATGTTATTGTTATTTATGGTATAAAAATAAGATTTGCAATATTTATATACTGTATCAGGAAAAAAATCCTTTAATGTTTGTGTTTTACCCAGCTGATCAGTACGATAACGTTATAAGTGCAGAACAGCACCAATTTTTCTGCTGTTGTTAATGGATAAGTTTCTTAATTATAACAAAAAATAAGTCCAGAAAGCTGCTTACAACAGGGGCCGACTCAAGGCAGTTTTGATGGATTCTGCGTCACGAATATAACTGATTGTTTCCTATAAATCAATTTTTCTAACCTTTGGCGTAACACAAACTCTTGGCATTTCCGACTTGAAATCCGTTATTCATAAGGACTACAGTTGCAGTTAGTTGGCGGTTTAGAGTTAAATGTGGATTGGTGGTTATTACGAAGTAACTGTTGACGCAAAAGCATACTTTATTACTCCAGAATACCTGTTTTGTAAATGAAAACCTGAAAAATTTTCCAATAATTTCTTACTGAGAGTTTTAGAAAAGTACAGCAATTATCAAAGAACAGTTAACCGTTTGGCCCTCAAAGCAACTACCATTAAATCTGCATTGGTCTTAACTGTAAACCATGCATTATGGGTCTCTTACAAGATGTTAACGATGGAGAAATGGCGCTCTCTTTATTATCCTTTTCCATTCCCTTTCAAATGCATTTAAAACATATTTTACAGTTCTTGTTAACGAAGGAGTTTATAAGTTTTACAGAAAATTTTAGGACAGGTTGTATACTCAAGAGAACTAAGTTCTTCTGTATCAGATGTGAACAGTTGAAAGCAGAATAGTCTTCAATACGCTTTTCCATGTTAACTTATCCATGAATTAGGTAGATGATAATAGAGGAAATCAAAACAAATCATCTTGGAACTGCCTTCTAACTCCCTCGACTTTTGCTTTACAAGTCAAAATTGATAATGTAGACGGTATCTGAACTTACGATATGAATTCAACCAGTGTGCTAATCTGCCTGTCCGCACTGAGTTACCAAAAGCTTCGTTACACTTCCTCTGGGGACACTCATTGAATATTGCTTTTCGCTCGCGGTTTCACAAACTAGAGCGCATCTGAGGTTGCTCACTGTAGTAAAAAACGCTGTGGAAACAAAATATTACGACGGCCTCACAGTCAGTGTAAAATCTCAGATCCACTTTAAAATGCGTTTCTCCTGAATTATGTTCGGCGGACCTTCAAGCAAAGGTAGATTTACCCACAGAAGAAAGGAGTAGTTTCTTTTGTGGTTTCTCACTAATATTCTTCTTTTTCCTTTGTTATTGAGTAAAGAAATACTGAACAAATTTAAGAAGAAAAAAAATTTGCAATAGAAGAGACTGTCTAAACATAGAAGCTTTAATGCTGTTCAGTTTTGATGTATTTACAGCCAAAAGTAAGCATATCACACTTGTTCAGGGACTGCAGATATAAATTTTGTGGAAGATTGGTTAGATGGTTATAGGGATTGTAGATTTTACAAGAATTTTATTAGCGGTGTTGCTAGAGCTTCTGTATGCATTCTAAACCTGCAGAAAATTTTCCTCTGAAAGGCGGTAAACGGAAGTTTTCAGCAAGGGGGCATAATGATGAACTGATTCCCAGAAGCAGTGTCGCAAAAAATTTGCGGCAGATGATCGCCAAATCATTTGTGTATCAGTAAGTCATTTGGACTCGAAAATAAGTGTTGTATTTCCAAAGGTAAAATAAATAATGTGATTTATTTCAGTTCTATAATTTAGCAAAGGTTTATAACACTTTAAAATTTTTTTTTTTAA